CTCGAAATCTTAGGAGAAAGGATTCTACAGGCATTTAGAAGTAGGTATAACGCCACAAATGTTACGAAACGTGTTCAGAGAAACAATTGAACGAGCTGAAATGTGTCTTGAACAAGGAGGAGTGCACTTTGAAAGTTCACTATAGTGAAAATTTTAAGAAATTAGGAAATTGAAAAAAATGTAAGTGCATCGCTGAAGTTATTGTTGATTTTGTTAAATTTGTTGATCCAATCGCAAATAAATTAGTATCGTTAGATTCGTCAAAATATCCTTTTTTCGGAAAGTGCTTGTCAAAAAATGGTCGCTGTTTGGAAAATAATAGTTAGACACAAAAATGTAATTTTGCCAACTTGTCTTATTCATATCTATCATACTTGTCACTAAAACTTCGCGATTGTAATTTTCTGATATCACCTGAGGTCCTTAGATTAGTTTACTTCCGATCATGCGGCCACCTAGATGTAATTTCAAAAGTGACTCCGAAAAAATTAAGTAGGCATAAAAACTTTCGAAAATGTCATATTCTGATCTAGAATTGTCTCAGAAATCCGAAATTGTTACAATATACAGGGTGTTCCATTTAAAAATCTAGAACCGGAGCCATTTCCGGTGAAACCGGAAGTGACCAGAAAGTGAAAAATATTTGAAAACTCTCCTCTTCACATACCATTTACCTATACCAAATCTCATTTTAATACACCTAATGGTCTAGAAGTTATGACCTGTCTAATAGATTCGCGTTGACACCCGGTTTATCATCCTGAAATTTGTATTTTTCAATTCTCAATCTAGAGTGATTATGATACTGGATATTGATTCAAAATATCGATTATGTGGTATCAACGTGTTCGTAACAAAATACTCTTGTCAGATATGGTGATGAGCCACCCTTGTCTATTTGAAAAAATTGAGTTAATATCATAATTACGATATTGTGAATTTTGAATGAACCTCTGAAACAAATAAGAAGTCAAAATTGAAACATGAAAATTTCAGGATGAAAAATATCGAAAAGTGGCAAGTGAGGTTTTATTGTATACTCCCAATGTTATTTTCTATTGAGATAAGTGAAAATATACCGTGTGTTCCATTTGAAATAAGGAACTATGGGTCATTTCTGGTCAAACCGAAAGTGACAAAATCAATTGAATACGCCAAATAATGCATTTATAGCTGTATCTCGCAAACTATTTGCCGCACAGGTTTCGGAAAAAAATCTCTGGAAATTATTTTCAAGTTTCCAGGACATCCCCTAGAGGGCGTAATTGCATTGGCCAGTTCAATGAACGGGTTTTTATGTAAATTTGATATATCAAGACATATCAAAAACACGTTTTTCATGTTCTCGAGTTGATTTCCAATCATTTCGATCAAAAAATATTGCGCTAGCTCTTTAAATAAAGGAGGGAGAGGGAAGGATGATGGAAAAACTCTTATTGGGTAGATACTACAGTTTGGTGTAACGGAATTAAGCGATCTTGGTCTCATTATGAAGGGTTTTTTCAGATCTTCCCGATAAATCACGAATCAAGTCGATTCAAATTCCGTGGTGGCTGCTAGATGGCATCGTTTGAAAAATCAGCCGATTCGCCATTTTCTTTCGAGAATTTCAAATGGAACCATATATTTTTTCTGCTATGATATGAAAGTTGAGTGAACGAGAAGAAAAATAGTGAAAACCGCGAGTTGATACCTCTTGAAGAACCGGAGAAATACTCGAAATAATATTAAAATTTAAACTGTTAGCATGTCGAATGCCTCCTCGTTCGTTATTGGCATTTTGACAAATAAGTAATCCACAATGAATAGTGAAAACTTCCAATGGAACTTCAATTATATTTTGACGTTTCTTTCATTCAAATTAGCTATGTCATTACTAAGAGTCCCTTTCATTATTGTGAGATATAACAGCAGTTTGTGAAACCAAAATAAATAAATCATTAAAATCATAATTCCATAGAACCAAGATATTTCTGATTACGATTATTGAAGTTAGATTCCTGTGGTGAATATTTTCATAATATTATTTCGAGTATTTCACCGGTTCCTCAAGAGGTATCAATTCGCCACCATTTTCCACCATTTTCCTTCTCGCTTGCTCTACTTTTTATTTACGTTATCTCCCTATTCTATTTCTACTTTCATATTATAGTAGAATGGTTCCATATGAAATTTTCGAAAGAAATGGAAAATTGTCTGATTTTTCAAACGATGCCATCTAGCGGCCACCACAGGATTTATATCGGCTTGATTCGTGATTCATCTGGAAGAACCAAAAAAACCGCTCATAATGAGACCAAGATCGTTCAATTCCGTTACACCAAACTGTAGTAATGAGAGTTTTTTCAAAGTACTATTCATCCTTCCCTCCCTCTTTTATTTGAAGAGCTAGCGCAATTTCTTGGATCGAAATGATTGGGAATTCACTCGAGATTATGAGAAAAGTGTTTTTGATATGTCTTGATACATCAAATTTACACAAAAACCCGTTTATTCAAATGGCCAATGCAATTACGCCCTCTAGGGGCTGTCCAGGAAACTTGAAAATGATTTCCAGAGATTTTTCTTGGCCACTTTCATCATTAATATTTTTTTCCGAAACCTGTGCGGCAAATAGTTTCCGAGATACAGCCGGCGTCCTTTCTAGTAATACACCCGGTACACACCACACCGAATTTCACTTAATTATCTGTATAAACAAAAAAGTTATAGAGGTGAGCCACTTTTGAGAAACACCCGGTAGGTACTCAACATTCTGATTGCCGAGTGTATCCCAATATTGTGCTTACTCATATCAAAGTGAAAATCAACTTGATGGTAAATAACCCATGAAATTCAGAAAAAAATCCACTGCTTCTCAGCTATAGATTTAGTCTCTCGAAAAGGAAACTTCAAAGGGACAACTTGAGAGATTGTGAAGATGGTTGGACCAATTTCTTACTGTTTTTATTATGAATGAACGTTGTTATGTGTATATAATTGATAAACATGCCCAACATATCATAGGTTTAGGATAACAGTAATCTATAAGAACGTGTACCATAATTGTTTGATGTCCTATCAGGTATTCCAAATGTATGTTTTGATTCAATAAATTTTTTATAATTTTTTCGTGCCTCCTTCACCACAATCCCACGCTATTAGGGGTGGGCAAATTTATCGATAGTTAGGTAATAATGATGGAAGTAAGATATGGTGTAATTACTGATGCGCTTTTGTTTCAGAATTTTAATCGATTTCTCGAGAACAGTGAGAGCAATGGTTCCGTCGATTTTCTAATAGATGGCAACATTGCACAATTATGATATCTGTCAGTTTTGAAATTGTCGCAGATTTTTAGAATTCAGTGTTGAATAATCCCCCTGTTACATAATATGTTCCGCCTTCCGAAAATGCCACTTGCCATTTTATTTCCACTCGTCACAGCAGCAATAGCAACATTACCATCTAGCGGGAAAATGCTGGAATCAACGTCTCGCTCGTTGTGACATAGAGAAATCATAGTAGGCGGTCGAGTGATTTTTATGAAATTTTCAATACGTAATAATGGTCGAATCATATCTTAGGATCTTAGGTAATATAGATGTATCGATAATATCGATTATATCGATAATAACAATAACAGAGATAAGTTAGGGTAACTTATCTCTGACAATAATATCGATAATTATCGATGATTTTCGAATTATCCGTTGATTGTTGATTCTGAGTGCACTTTTTTGGCAGTTCGACCTAAACGTTGTTTTAACCTCACAAAGTGTCATTCTATCAAGTGCTAAAATTACCAATTCCAAATTTTGTCAGTCTGATGTGTCATCTCTCAATGAAGGTAAAAACTTGTTGAACGGAAATACTGTAATAGTTGGAAGCAAAACGGCTCAAGTATCACTTAGGTTGGTTTACTCCTCAACATTTCTCTGATTTTGTTCATATATAAGAATACTTGTGTATATTCCACCAGTAAGTCGAGTCGAAGTTATCAATCAGTAGATATATACATGTCATTTCAGTCAAATTTCAAGGAATGACAGCTCTATCCAATAGATGAGTATTACCTACTTAAGAGAAAATCAAACCGAATAAATGAAAAATTTCGCTGTTAACTGTAACAACCGTAGAAAAAGTATAGTTTGTAACTCCCATTCGTTTGATTTGCAACATTTGCCTACGGCTCATGATGCAAACTTCATTCTCGTAGGTGTAGGAAATGACTATATCATTCAGTGCTCGTTAAACAATACTATGTCCAAACTGCTAGAATTCACTAATTCTCCTGTAAAGCAGGATTTCTTCAGAAGCTAATCTCAACTTAACAAAACATTCAAAGGAAAAGAAAGGACCAAAATAGCAAATAGTGAATAGAGAAACCCTAGCTTTCAAACTTGATGATGACTTTGTGGAACTAATCTCTTATTATTGCAGGATGATGCCGAGTCATAGGCATGACAAGGTAGTGAGTCAGAGGAGATGAGCTATCGTCTATGATATAACCATCTATGAATAATTATAGATTCATTCCTGTTTGTACCGTTCGAGTAATAACTTGTCTTGTAAGCTAGTAGTCGGGTTCAGTTAAATATAGGGTGTTACAGTGTTTGTGTCGTATTTTCATTCGACCTCACCCTCCTACATAATGAATAAAGTTTGTATTCTATTTTGTGTTATTATTCAATGTTCTGCATGTACGTTAGTACTTGAACTTGAAGGAGCAAAAGAGTTTCAGTAAGTTTTTGAGTGAAAAAAATATCAAACTTTCAGAATTTTCAAGTTATTTCTTCACCTCTAAAATTCTAAATCTATTATGATTCACTATATAGAATATTCAACAAATCATTGAATAGTTTATAGGCATTTCCAAAATCAACTGAACTTCAACCTTCATTATCTCCAAACAATCATTTGGTGACTTAGGCTGTTATGGTTCTTGCCCCTTCATATGATGATAGGACAGTCAATAGCATTACTGTTGATAGAGTTCGGTGTTACACATCAATTAATATACTAAAAATAGTTCTTTATTTTATCCAAAAAAGTTTCATTTACAATAAATTAAACACACGATACACGTAGGTAGGTAAGTAATAAGTAATATCAATAGATAAAATTATTGATTAAATTAACTGTACAAAAAGAATATTCGTGATTCCAATAACCATAATTTTCGAAAGGCTTATAGAATATGCCGGCTGACACGTAACCATTTCATCCCCCTGTATCATCGTTACTATTTTGAATATACACACACTGGCACAATTAGGGGAACGGGCAAAATTTACACTAAGTTTGACATCAATTTTCTTTCGAACCGATCGCTTGATTCAAATTATTTTCTTCACGAAATGTAGCTTCATTCTTCACGAATACATCTGATAAATAATTACCTTCAAACGATGAGTCTTTCCATCATATACAGGGGTGTAAAGAAAGTACGGATTTTTCGGTATTTTTTTAGACATCCTGTGGACTGAACCACTGATAATTGAAACGATTTCTCAACACCAAATTGGAGCCCAATCTATTCCGAATATTTTCGTTTTTAATTCATCTTGATATCTCAATTCTTCAAGAAAATACAGAGTTTCAAAGAGAAGGTGGATATTGGTATCAATTTTACACTTCAAAACTCAAATTGGATCTGAAAATGTGTCGTTTCTTGACTAACCTAACCTAACCATGACTAAACCTCTGCCATAGGAGACAGAAGCAGTGAAATCAAATTGTTCATTTTGTTCACCTCGGCGATATAGTCTTTCCCTGCCATCTATTGAATTGGTGCAGCTGCGGCTCTCATATGTTGAAAGAACATTGGCCCACTGGTCATTTTCAATTAATGCTACAGCCCTCGCCACATCAGTAGGAGTCAAATCTCTCACGTTGAATTTTCATTAATCAAATTTATGAACTGTGAATCGCTTGACTTTGACAATAATTAATGACATTAACAAAGTAGCCAACGTTGATTAACAAAAATAGCATTTCACCAAAATAACATTGGATCAACTTTTATCACCCCTGCATATTCATGAGAGTATTCGTATATGTGTCTTTAAACAGTAAACCGATAGGTGAAACTGTGAACAATTCTCATCTTGAAGTAAAAATCCTCGCAGAAACAAGTTGAAAAACGACACGTTCTCCCCAGTTCGAGTTTCGAGGTGGTAAAATTGATACCAATATCCACCTCTTCTTTGAAACTCTATATTTTCTTGGATAATTGGGATATCAAGATGAATGAAAAACGGAAATATTCGGGATAGATTGGGCTATAATTTGGTGTAGGAAAATCGTTTCAATAATCAGTGGTTCACTCCACAGGATGTCTTAAAGAATTCCGAAAAATCCGTACTTTCTTTACACCCCTATATATGAAAACGAATCGTTTGGAGGTGGTTATTTCTCAGATGTATTCGTGAAGAATGAAGCTACCATTCGTGAAAAACAAATTTGAATCGAGTGATCGGTTCGAGAGAAAATTGATGTCAAACTTAGTGTAAATTTTACCCGTTCCCCTAATTGTGCCAGTGTGTATGTTTCAAATTTGGTACATATCGATATGATTTCATGAGTGCATAATATCTCTGGAATTAGAACAAATATGACCGTAAGTGCATCCAATTTATTTATTTCAAATACTAGTATAAGTATACTATATATATTCTATTTTTTCTTTTCTGCACTCACGTGCTATTGTTTCATTAAATCTCAGTCACATGAGTAGATTATGGATTAAAAGTTCAGAAGGTAATTCTATTCTAAAATTGGATGATCTTCCGGTCAAAACGAAAGTGTCATACACTAGTGCAATCAAATCAATGTACCAAATTTGAAACATCCATTCAAAATAGCAACAAACATACAGGGTGGTGAATTGGTTCCGTGGCACCCGGTATATATATGTATGCAAATTGAATCAACTTTCAAGAATTTGTATCTTAAGTACTAAATGACAGACCTGTCAACTCTCTTTGTTTTCTTCGCTTTCACCTTCATGATGTGACTGAAGCTCTGAAAATGAAAATGTATACAGGTTGTCGCCGAATTAAAAGAATTAAATACAAAATTAGTTTGTATTACAGGCCTCACGAAATGTTTCATGCCATTAAAATGTTGTATTTGTTGTGAATTATGAGCCCATGCGCTGCTCAAAATTTTCTAATCTTTCAAAATATTTCGTGTAGTAATCTAGTCAGCAATTAAACTATCTAACTACGAGATACTAGATGTATAACGATGTTGCCACGTTTCATAGCTGAATCTTGTTTGGTGTGAATTGATAACGATCATGTCTCATACACATTATCCAGTTATTAATGAAGCATCATGGCACTGAGATAACAATCTGGCAACTATGTGCTTCAATTACTGAGTCGTGACGTCAACTACAACGAAAGGAAAATTGCGATGTTTGATACTGTGATTCCATTTGTGACCGTGAAACGATTCAGATTTTTTTTATACCTAATAAAAGGAGGAAGGTTCCCTCGAACGAATTATCATATATCTAATTATTATTCAACTATTTGAAATTATATTCCCGATGTCTAAAATGGCTATTCAAATCATTCAAATTAAAATTATTCAAATTATTCAAATTATTTTATGCACTTCAGGGATTTGAAGGTTACCTTTATTCCCTATTTTCGGGTAAAGAAGGGGTACTTCAAATCCCTAGGGATACAGATGGCTCCAGGATGGAAGAATGCGCAGGTGCTGGGGTCTATGGGCAGTCCCCAAGGGCAAATCATTACTATACCCTTGGGAAACATGCCACGATTTTTCAGGCTGAAGCATTTGCAATACTTGCATGTGTTCGAGAGAATATCGAGAGGGGCTATCACAGCCAGCAAATCACTATATGCACGGACAGCCAGGCGGTGATCAAGGCGCTCACCTCGTATAGGGTGACCTCCGCCTTGGTGTCAGAGTGCATAGATAGCCTACAAAGGCCGTCAGCAACGAACAAGGTATGTCTTTTGTGGGTCCCTGGACACTCAGGGGTACCAGGTAACGAAATGGCCGATGGTCTGGCCAGAAAAGGGGCGAAGGGTTCAGTGATTGGCCCAGAGCCAATCTTAGGGGTTACTCGATCCTGGAGCAACTTCAGGATGAAGGAAATCCTGACGGAAAGGTTTCAGGACAGCTGGAGAGAGGCTCCTGGAATGAGGCAGTCCAAACTCCATATAGGAAACCCGTCACGAAGACAGACCAATGCCCTCTTGGCTTTGAACAGGAAGGAGCTGAAACTGGTGGTGGGCCTGCTGACAGGGCACTTCCACTTGAACAAACATCTCAGCACGATCGGGATTGTGGAGCATCCTGAATGCAGATGGTGCCTAGAGGATGAAGAGACTTCTACTCACATCCTCACTGAATGCCAGTGGCAGCAAGGGATATCCATTTTGGGAGCAGTATCCTGGACCCAGAGGATGTTAAGAAGATTTGGTCTAGAAAGTTGGTCTCTTTTGCTCGCGAGATCGGCCTTCTCCATGGCTGACTTGCGATCCCAGGAATGTGGGTGCACAATGGGCCCGAAAAGGGAGGCCTAAGTGCGTCAGGTCCCGGACCGCCCACACACATACATACATACATACAATCCCTAGGGATTAAAAGTAAATTTCTTTGCAATAAAAGCTAAATTCAAAAATGTATTTTCAAAATGTCTGTTGCAATTGTGGCTTTTATCATCGAATCAGCAGGCAGCACATCCCTTCGTTGTCAACCTCGAAAGATGCCGAACAGCACTTTATCAAAACTCCTTCATCCATAGAACGGCTGGGCTCTGGAATTCATTGCCTGAGGAAGTATTCCCAACAACATATAATCTCCAGAAGTTCAAAAAAAATTCCAATACCTACCTCCTATCCCTATCCTCCCTAGGAACGCACGATGTTCTTTGAACATTATAGGGATTCCCTCTCGTGCGCTCCAAGCGAAAAAAAAAAAAAAAAAAAAAAAAAAAAAAAAAAAAAAAAAAAAAAATACGCTCCACAATGACGATGCTTTAAACTACCAACTTTTCCAAGAAATATGCTAGCAATGCCTTTTCTTCTGTACATTTTTCTACGTTCCGTTTTTTGCACCATTTGATAAACTCAGATAACCGTTTTTTATATTGATCTCCAGATTTTCTTGGTAATAATAATTGGCCTTCAGCTTCTTGAGCTGCCTTTTCGATTTGTTCCATCGCGATCAACGTCTTTCAATCGGTGTGGTATGTTCCACTAATATGTATTTATTTATGTTTTCGTGCTTGTCAAAACACACCAAGATTTTCAGTTGGCGATGACAATCATGATCTGGATCACTATAGTTACTGAGGTCGTTGATATGGTAACAATCAGCATCTCTCATAAAAATATTTTTGTTCCATGTTTTTTGTTCATTGGTTTAACAACATGACAAGTATGTCCACACCCTTCGAAGGGTGAGAAAAGAGATGTTCGAGGCACTCTAATCCCTTTTATCGTCAAGCCGATTTGAATCAACTTACCTCAGCTCCGTTTCCGAGATATAGGGTGGTAAATTTAAAGAATAAAAATCGACAAGTACAACTCAAAAAGTGTTTTGAAAAATCAATTTTTGCACTGCTTATTCACTGACCAAACTACATCCACGAATATAACAGCATTTTTTTTTCTTTCAAAATAATCCAAATATCCGGGCGGCATCGAACACTATAAACCGAAATATCTCTAAAACGGCTTTCTTTAGCGAATTTTCACTAGTGTACCTTTCCTGCTTGTAAATATTAAAAACACCATTTCCTCAACAAAAACTACACTGAGAAAAAAGTTATGGCCATTCGAAACCATAAGATGTGCATTGGTTAGCGCCCTCTAATGGTCATAGTGAAAAGGTGTCCGCATTCGGGTTTAGCATCCCCAAGTCATACGTTCAAAAATATTCATACATTTTGAAAAGTACAATTTTTATTTTTTAACTTTAACTCCCTGTATCTCGGAAATGGCGCAATTTCGGACTGAGGTAAACTGTTTAGAATCGGCTTATTTAGACCTCACGAATATGTGCTGAGATTTTGTACAGAATAGGTACTTACAAACTCATCATCCTCGCTTGAATCTACACCATCACTCATGTCATCTTCTGAAAAAAAAAAGGTTTTTTCATCAATATATCTTTTGACTTATTTCAAGCGATGACAGATCATTTCACTGAATCATTGAAGAGACTAACCTTCTACAGGTTCATTTTTCACAGTAGGAGCTATATTCATCCAATCGCCAAACTCAAAGCTATCTTCATTACTCTGATTTTTCTGTGCTGAATCTTTTCGTTCAAAGCCTTCACTTCCCTTGTCAACAACCTCTCCCTTAACTACATCCACTGTACTCTGCCAACTATGCGTGCTATCCATAGTTTCATCCCTCTCTTGTAGTTCACACGGTAGTTTAGAATTACTGGAATTATCACGTTCATCCGTTCTTGCATTTGTCAAGCTGCCTTCTTCGTTGTGTAACGATGAGACCTCAAAGTCCATACTTTTCTCGTCGGGTTCCGTTTTAAGGATAATGGGCGTGAACATTTTCCGGATATACTTTTCGTCCAAAGCGTCTGATCCAGGTCCCTCCATAGTCTTCTCAGTAGCAGTGTCATTTCCCAGAATGTCTTTTTTCACTGACATAGGCATGGGGAAGTCATCTGCCTTCTTCATTTCCTCTTCTAACCCCGAGCAGATTGGTTTCGGTAGAAGCTGCCTAGCTTGAGCATCATCCCCCCCATCGATGTCTGTCTTGACAATCATGGGTTTGGGCAAGGCAAACGCAACAGGAGGCTGAGAGAGTCTTTCAGGTACCTATAAGAAAGCTACTATGAATGGGTTTTTATCATTCGGTCCAACATCAAATCAATTCTGGCACAGTGTACCGAAGTCGGGCCAAATTGTAAATATCAGGTAAGAACCCTCTTGGAAGGAAAGATAATAAATGAAAGTTCTTCACTAGCTGTCAATTGACCAAGCGTTTTTCTGAAAAATCAGTATCATCTTGGATTATATAAGGACAACGCTACTTCAGTCTAAATAGTATTTTCTTTTCTCGAAGAAATATTTACCGATACCCTAATCAGTATACAGCTTTTACCCAAAGACAACCATAATAGTTTCTAAAAAGAATAATAAATTTTCAAGTGAAACTTGTTAGTTCGGAAAATATGTAGAATGTTGTTTATGGTTTTCTTTGGCTAGTTTCTATAGATGCAAAAACCACCCAAAACGATTGGATAACAGCACATGATTGGTTCTATACCATTTGGCGCTTGCGTTTGCATCTCCATGTCACGTGATATACTCACCATACAAAAGTAATTCATTAGACAATTTTGAAAAAGTTTGTTCTAGAGTTTTGTACTGTCCGGATGTGTCACGTGATGCGGAAAACTGATAAAAGTCATGTTATTCTGAAAACCTTATATTCATTATGAATTGAAGATTCATCAACTACTTGAGTTGAGTTGAGTAATTACCCTGCATAAATATCACTATATCTCAACTAGCTTTACAATAATTAGATTCAGTCAATATCGAATTAGCATTGTGTCAATTAGCTAAATACAGATCCTATTTTCAGTTTCTTTCATTCATTTATTTTCAATCTATCAATGAACATAATTAATTCACCTAGGAAAGCCAATAGCTTGATTAATTGACCCCCTTCCTACCCTTTTAGGCTTATTTGTACTTAATAATAGAGTCAACGTAATTATACATCATTTAAATAACTGAGGAGTGGCTTCCAGTTGAGTATTTGAGATTGATGAGGAAAAATATGCAAGCTCAGATACTAGTATGATGCATAAGCAGGAGGCTAAGAATTTTGTCTATAAAAGGTGAGGTGATCATAGTATATTGTGTATGATAGTTTGCCGACCTGTCTCGTTCGACAAAAAGCACTTTTTGTTGGAAATTAGAAATATACATCAAATGAGATAGTTTAATTGCTTACGAACCTCACAATCCTCCCCCACTTCTTTTTCCGGCTTGACAAGCAGCACTTTTGGTTTGGGCAAGGTAAATGCAACAGGAGGCTGTGACAGTCGACCCATAACCTCACTATCCACTTCCACGTCCTTTTCCGGCTTCACAAGCAGCACTTTGGGTTTGGGCAAGGTCAGTGCAACAGGTAGCTGTGACAGCCGACCCCTAACCTCACAATCCTTCTCCACGTCCTTTTCCGGCTTGACAAGCAACACTTTGGGTTTGGGGAAGGCTAACGCAACAGGTGGCTGTGACAGCCGACCCATAACCTCACAATCCTCCCCCACATCCTTTTCCGGTTTGACTTGCAACACTTTGGGTCTGGGAAAGGCTAACGCAACAGGAGGCTGCGACAGTTGATCCACAACCTCACAATCCTCCCCCACATCCTTTTCCGATTTGACAAGCACCACTTTGGGCTTGTGCAGGGCGAAAGCTACGTCGACAGAGCCGGGCATGAACCTCGTTTTGAGAGGAACCACGGAAGGTTTCATGTCCATATCGTCGTCGGAATAGGAGGAGGCGCGCTCCCCCTTTACGGGGCTGTCTTCTTCTTCCCATCGCGATATGTCGATGTCCCAGGGGGCCGAGACCTGTTCTCGCTCGGGATGTTTTTCGTCTGGGGGGCTGGTGTACAAGTGGGTTTCTGTGTCTTTCGGGTGGTTGTGAGGGAGCTTCGGTTCGCCGGGCATGCCTACGGTGCCGTGGAGCCTTCGGAACCTGGAAAAACAGCCTATAGCCTTGACGCCATTCGAAAAATTGGCACCACTAGTATTTTTTCAATATTGGTAACATCAAACCTGTCTCATGACGCGTTCAAATGCCAACTTATGCAGAAAGCTTGAATAAAACGGGCTCATTGTTCACATGAAAAAAAAGTTGGGAAAGTGACAGTGACTGCCACATTCAGTTGAATTTCGGGTATACAGAGAAGTGCTCATTTATTGAAATATCTTTTTTTATATCACTTCCGGTTTCTCCCGAAAAAGACCCCAACTTTTCATTATCAATCGGTTAGAGATTAATGACGAATTCAAAGATACCGGGTTTGATAGGGTTATTTCGCAATATCGAATCTTCTTTCTCTGACACACTCATTGAGCATATGGAAACTTAGAACGCGAATATCTTCGTAATCGTTTCAATTAACCCTATCACACCCGGTATCGTTGAATTCGTGATGATAAGCTCTAACAGATTCAGGGTGTCCCATTCAAGAATCAAAAGTTGGGGTCGTTTCCGGTGAAACCGGATGTGAAAGAACAAAAATTGTTTTGTCAAATAATGAGCAATGTGGTTATACTTGCTACCCACCAATTTTTGGAATCCGATCTTGAATTATTCAGAAGTTACAGCACTGGCCATATTTGTGCGCTTCTCTGGAAACCATTTTTTAATTTGTGCTAGTTTTTTGACCACCACTGTTGCCCAAACTGTATATTATGATGATATAGCAGCAATTTCGCATTTATTTTCTGAATATTCATGTGGTTCCGTGGTTCCGTTCATGTGGTTCGGCAAATGAGATGATAATACGCTGCGAGCCAAAAAGCGAAGAGCCAGATGTGAACGCGTCTTTAGACCATACAGGATCTCGCTTCACTCATATGGACTGCTGAGGGATATTTCATTCATATTCCCTCTCCAAACCCGGTTAGAGTATTTTGTTGAAGGTGATGAGAGGCAACTACGTCATAATGACGTCAACATTAACTATTTTTGAAATACAATTTCTTTCACTTTACCCGTGTATCTTAAATTCGACATCCCGTCCATTCATTTTTAATTTGAATTAATATTTCCATTATATACTCCATTTTTCACATTCATCATTTGTAAACAAATATTCAAGTTCAACTTCAACCACCTTTACCAACTATGGGGTTGGTGAACCTTAGGGCAGGTAGGGGAGATGCACCCCAAAAAAAAAGAGATCACGGTTACACACAATGAATTGGGATTATCAGCTTCAACCATGACAAGTGATCTGAATGAAATGCCCCTCTGGTAGTAAACGCAGAAGCACGACAACATTGCAAATAATAAAAAATATTCGCATGCTGTACCAAGGCGGAAGTTAGTCTTTGGTAGAAGTCCATATGGCTGTCAAAGCCGTCTGTTCACTTTGTTTTCATTGATTCACAGTTCTTTTCATTGGTTCACATTATTGTTTTTTCGTGTGTATTGGTCACATCCAAACAAACTGCAAAGTGTTCAAGTTGTTGCCGTCAGGTGGTGTTTCGAAATTGAGTGCGCTATGCGCTCGAGTGGTTTTCAAGCAACCTAATTTGTTTCTCATAATCGAAGGTATTTTCATTTCGATGATCATCAATACACTTGTATTACATACCATAATAATAATAACCCTGTCCGTCCTAGTGTACGATTTACTCACCTCACAATCAAACTTTTTGAATACATCTGAGTGGCATGAGTGCTTTGGAAGGCTTCTATGGAATCATCGACAGTCTTGAAGGATACAAAAGCATACCTAGTATACTTCATCTTCTTTGCATAACCTAGATAAGTTTAGAAGACTATTGAGGCATCTGTTTGTTATGATATTTTGGTCATTAATGCATTATGAGTTGAAGATGTAAAAACTTATAGGCAAAGTTTTTGGGTAAAGTGGGTTGATAAGAAATTATTTACAGTAACAAGTAACAATTTGGCCTCAGTTTTTGGAAGGTTCGTAGACGGCGCTAGTGAAACTCAGCAAACGATTTGTCTATGCTCTTCGAATCTCCCCGAGTCCATCTATCTGCAAGTTGATGAACTATCAGACCTAGGAATATCCTTCTTTCTAAAGCAGGAAAATAGCTAATTTAGATATTCTGAATGATACAAATATTTTAATCACGCCCAGAAGCGACATCCCTTCTTGCATTAAAACATCTAAAAATAAACTCCGAATGTATTCTGCATTACCGATCTCTACCCTTCGCTACTCACAAAAAAGTAGTTCACCTAGTCGCTCATAGATAACGCCACCTACTGAATAGAATTTCTGGCTTCATTGTTCTCATAAGGATGGTTCTCTTGTTAGTGTAAATAATTCGTGCAAGAGTGTGACACACTTCTGCAATCTGTAGTCTTACTGGAAATGAATATGTCTTCAATACCTTCTTCTTATCAGGATGAAATTTGGCTTGAATACTGAATTGTATTCACTATGATATATCGCACTCTCAGTAGTTAAACGGTTAACCGTATCACTACAAAAAATATTTTTGTACTTTGAGAGGCCCAGTCAGCCGGTATATTTAATGTAACTAGAATATTGAATCAATACAACTCATGTTAGACTAAATGTCAAATTACGAAAGTTTTGTTTGTGTTCTGACATAGCACACGAAAGGTTTTTTATTTGAATTTAAAATCATCATTCGTGTCTGCTTCTTCAGAGACCTATGCTCCGATTACTTCACTTATCGATTAGTTGGTGATTGATTGTGAATGTTTGAAAAAATGTTACGAAATGTTTTTATCTGGAATGAAGATGATCAGATGATAGTATATGCCAAGACGTGGAAGAACGGTATGTGTTTACGATAGACAATTCTCAATTCACCTATATCGATTCTCTTCTGTCTAGGATACGCCTTTACCATATCCTCTTTGGTCACATCTTGGGCCAGATTTCCGACATAGAGAGTGAGCGGATCTATGTCTTCCGGCCCTACGTTGATTTCGTCCTCTCTATCTTTCTTGAACTCGGCAGTCAGGTAGCCCTGGCCGAACGGTATGCGGTTGAGGTGTTGTATGACCGTTTCAGGGTCGGCAGAATCCTAGAATGAGCGTTGGTAAGCTTATGCTGGATCTGAGATGACTAGGCAATCGACCTAACAGTAGATATTCAACCCAGCGAGAACACAAATTTCTAGTCAAGAAGAATTCTTTCGACTATTTCACACATCTTGAAATTCTTACATAATCTGACCAATCGCAAGGCAAAAAAAGCTTGAGAGAGAGAGAGAAATATACCTCATTGTCGAAAAAAAAAATTTCCTATTGACAAAGCTCGTACAAAATAGAGTCTTGAAAAAAATGTGAAAAGATTAAAAATCAAAACACAAATACACAGAAACACAAAATTTGAAACAAGTTCACACGTCATGTATAAAATATTGCAATCTAAAACATAATTTAACATGTAGTTTTGCAAAGTTTGTTGAAACAAAAATAGTATTAGAATCATTTGGAAATCGCACAAATATACAGAACCACACATTTGACCATAAGTTCACAAGTCATTCAATTAAAACATATTTTACAGTTCAAAGTGACGGGTTACGTGATTTGTATGTCTCGGAGTTTCCACCATATCATGTTTTTCGTAAATCAGACAAGCAGTTTCCAGAATGAAGATTCAAGTGATAGTCAGAATTTTTCTCTAATTAATAAAGGTCTACATGAATCATGCACTCCCACCTTGCATAAGTATCTTATCGCTCGCTTTTGCAAAACGAACACTGAATGAAACAGTTGTTGACTGCAAAATTGCCAAAAGGCGACACCATATTTCAAGTGAGACTCAATCAGAGAATGATATACCACTTTGGTTGTGGATGAACTCAATTCATTCGAATCAATTTGGAGTGCATAATATCCTGTCAAATTTCTATTTATTATCAATAACAATTCCCATTCGCGTTGCTTGCACGTTGAAATATTTCGATCATTAATCGCCCTCATCAATACACTAGTTGGTCAAATAACTAAACTACTCAACACTAATTTCGTCGCACACCAAAATGTCGCCCCTGTTATAATGTGGATAACTTTTTTCAGTTTAGAACAATTTGAATTTGGTTCACACTGTTCGATAGCCCAGTCCTCCAGCTATATTCTGGTATTTCATTGAAACATAAGGGTATTCACATAAAATCTCTACATGGTGTTTTCCGACACTGTGCGAAATTTCGGAATATTCAAAAGGCTCTGAAATGGTGAAAAAAAATTTTTTCTCAACTTCGACAACAGTGGCATGAAGATGATCTCATCACCTCGAGATATTTCGCGAATCAACTTCCTATCTCTCTTATTTACAGAGGGATCTCAAAAAATCAACTTTTTGGTTTTGCAGCCATAACTTTTTTCCACGTCAACCGATTTTGAAAATCTTAGGCTCATTTTGAAGATAAAACTTCAGATGGAGAGATCTGAATATCAGAATTGACTCAAGATGGCTATCAAAGATCTAGAGTTTCCTTGAAAGTGACCCAAATCTGGAACACCCTTCGAATCTTGGTTGGGAGGAGAATTGAATGAAAATCAACTTGTTCTCGGTAAAACAATTCATTCTGGATGCGTCCATATTTTCCTCGCTCTCAGTAGTCAAGAATTGTGCGTGAGAAAACACAATTGAAACATGTTCTTGCAAAAACATTAGATCATTTCTCCTCTGTAATGCATGGCCCGCCGTAACCAACGTTACAAGAATTACAATGAGTGACTGACAAACCCGACCAGCTGAGGCTCATCATGAATGGTGTACCAACAAGAGCAACGGATTTTGATTTTTTCAATAAAGTGATTTCTTTAACAGTTGTCACGTACATAACATGCGATTTAAGAATATGGAGAAGTATTCAAGCAAACAACGTTTATTTATTGTAAAAACGCATTTCAAAAATGGTGAAAGTTTCACGAAAACAGTTTGCCAATTACGTAAAGTTTTCAATCGCAATAATGCGCCGAACGAATCGACAGTAATAACCGAACAAGTCGTGTCGGAGATACGCCCTTTGCCCCTTTGAATGGATCGGACTGTCGTGTTTAGCAGGAAAGGATTTGGAGGAAAGATAACCCTTGTTCCCTCATTTGTGAAATCAGTTCCAACTGGTCGGGCGTTACATGCGGCATCGAAACTATCAAAATCTGTTTATGATTCGAAAACGACGTCTAACCTGACTTGTCAGTCACTTACTGTGATTCTTGTAACGTTGGTTACGGGCCATGCATTACAGAGAAGAAATGGTCTGATGTTTTTGCAAGAACATGTTTCAATTGTGTTTTCTCACGCACATTCTTGAGTACTGAAAGCGAGGAAAATATGGACGCATCCAGAATGAATTGTTTTTCCGTGAACAAGTTGATTTTCATTCAATTCTCCTCTCAACCGAGATTTGGAGGGCGTTCCAGATTTGGGTCACTTTCAAGGAAACTCTAGATCTTTGATAGCCATCTTGAGTCAATTCTGATATCCAGATCTCTTCATCTGAAGTTTTATCTTCAAAATGAGCCTAAGATTTCCAAAATCGGTTGACGTGGAAAAAAGTTATGGCTGCAAAACCAAACAGATGATTTTTTGAGATCACTCTGTAAATAAGAGAGATAGGAAGTTGATTCGCGAAATATCTCGAGGTAATGAGATCATCTTCATGCCTCTGTTGTGGAAGTTGAGAAAAACATTTTTTTCACCATTTGAGAGCCTTTTGATTATTCCGAAATTTTGCACAGTGTCGGAAAACACCATGTAGAGATTTTATGTGAATACCCTTATATTTCAATGAAGTACCAGATTATAGCTGAAGGACTGGGCTATCGAACAGTGTGAACCAAATTCAAATTGTTCTGAACTGAAAAAAGTTATTCACATTATAACAGGGGCGACATTTTGGTGTGCGACGAAATTAGTGTTGAGTAGTTTATTAACATACATCGGATCTTCGCTGAGAAAAGTAACTGATTTCAACAATAATATAACGATTCATCTTTCAAATTTCTGTACTCAGTAGGATAATTCCGCACAGTAAATGGTTATTAACAAAAAACCATCGGTTCATATGATGATGAAATAATGATCGAGATCATTAATCACCTTTTAATATACGAGTTGGTTTCAATTTTTGTCTGTCGACTATATTTCTCATTCCTCCTGTAATGAAGAAAACTTGGTTCTCGAATTCATCGTTCATTTGGAAACTACTAAAGAATTACCCTTGTCACTGACATTAGTGACATTTAACATTTGTCGAAATCATGTCGAAATAATTAATCAGCTAAGAAAATAAATTCCTTGTGTTAGAAAACGGGGATTAAAATCGTTTCAGAAACTTGGAAAGGCTATAGATGAAATTCGATTTTCGATTGAAATACAGATTACGTAAGTTATAGCATAAACAGTGAATGGACAAGGTGTATGTTTGGTTGCCTATGCTACAATCGTGCATTAATAGACAGATTGATCATTGATAGGGGTCATTAACGATAACGGATTATTATTCACACATTGTGTAATTTCTTTGATATTGAAAGGAAAAGAGCAAACATACCTGTAAAGTTACAAAACAAAACCGAGGCGTTGATGGCTGCTGAAAATGCACACTATCGATACTCTTATGGAAATCAGCGACAATATGCCTGTTCAACTCCAAATCTGGAAACTTGATAATCAAAGATTGCCTCTTATTCCTCTTATTGCAATCCTTCTCGACCTCCAAAGCCCTCTTAGCATCTTCGACAGACCAATCCTTCCGCTGGGGAATATTCTGCGACAGCGGCTTCTTCCGTTTCCTCATATTCTTCTTGTGATGATCCTCGGACTCTGACGTTCTCCTGTAGTAGGCCGGCTTGGCAGGGGAGGGGGAATATTGGGGCGTGGTCTGACCGTATTGGGGCGTGGTTTGACTGTAATGGGGCGTGGTCTGGCTGTGATGTGGGGTGGTCTGACTGTATTGAGGCGTGGTCTGGCTGTATTGGGGCGTGGCCTGACTGTATTGGGGCGTGGTCTGGATGTGATGCGGCGTGTATGGAGGCGGAGTCATAGTGTATTGGGTAGGAGGATACGCGGACCTGTAGGGTGGGGTAGAAGAGGTCGGAGGAAGTGGAGGTGGGGGCGGGTTTTGCGGGGGCGGTACCAAAGGGAGGGGGGGCGGATATCGGCTGTGCGACAGTTCGAAGGGTTTCAGGGAGGGGGGATAGGGAGCCGGGGTGGCAGCAGCTAAGGCGGTAGGACTGTAGCCACTAGCACTAGCGGAAGATCAACAAAAATGACGATATTATTAGGGTGCTGTTTGAAGAATTGAGGTATACATATTCCGAGAGCTAATTCAATAGAAGTGGGAATCACGATATTTTCTCGAAATTGAATTGATGATATTGATCAATATTGAACATTATGGACAGGACTGGACAGATTATAAGTAGGAAATGGTCGACATTTGACCAAAATAGAGCGGAATGGACAAAATAGGTCACTATTACATGGAATTGGTCCAGGATTAAACAGAATGGTTTTGGATTAGACAAACTGATCCAGGATCGAATGGATTTGGCCACAGAACTCAGTAGAAGGCTAATGCAAGTGTGTGAAATATTTTTATACGCAAATCTCATAATTATACATTAGGATGCAGTTCATATTCCTTATAGAACTTCTTGTAACTGATGATCACCAGATAGACTCGATGATATTAATTGAATCGCTAACAAGAGATCGATGAATTGTTATGAACTTCCAATTAATTACAAGTTCGTCTGGCAACTGTGTAAGAATGAACCTCTGACATTTTGTCTGACGCGTAGACTTAAGACAGAGCCGGACTAGTTTCAGTTATTCAGTGTTTTGCTTTGTGCAACGACAACGACTTTTGTTAGTGACTTTGAGATTATAGGGTTTTGGTATTTTATTCCAATTTGGGTGGTTTATTGTAGTCATAGTGACAAGTATACGTGTTTCCTGTTTAGTTCATAAGTACAGTAGGTACTTATTTGATTCAACATTCATTTACTGATTTGTGTACAGGGTGATTCACCATAAATGTCCCCTCCTCTAGCTCAGTTATTTTTGAACCGATTGCAAAATTTTGAATATCATCTAAAATAATTTTCGATAGAGTTGTTTTCCGCTAAATCAGAAAATGCAAGGTGCTCGGAAAAAACGATCTACAGGGTACTATTTAATTTTTTTAAATGGAACACCCTAGTCTTCATTGTATTTTTAGATTCTCCCTGATGAGCTGATTTCATCTATGCATCACACTACTTGGGGTCTAGCGAAAATGATTACAAGAGATATAGAGTGTTCAAAATCGAGATTTTTCTGTGACGAAACTATTCATTATCGGTCAAGACGGCTTTCATGTCAGTATCTCAACTTTTGATTAACTATCTACTGACATTTAATAATTGGAACAGATACAGGGTGATCAGAATTCTGAATCTTGAACCACACTGTATATGTTCCAATTAAATGTCAGTAGATAGTAAATCAAAAGTTAGGGACATGTAAGCCGTTTTGATCGATAATGAATAGTTTCGACACAAAAAAATCCTAAAGTTGAAAAATCTCGATTTTGAACATCCTAAATCTCTGTAATCATTCCCGCTAGACACCAAGTGTGATATTGATGAAAGCAGCTCTTCACGGATAATCTAAGAATGCGATGAAATACAGGGTGTTCCATTTGAAAATCGACAGTTGATGCCCGTTACGCTTCAAGGTTTCAACTTTGGAATATGATTATTGCAGCAAAATGTGTCCCTCGCCAAATTGAAATCGATCTGTCCGAGCGATTTTCAATTTTTTTACTACATCGGGGATTAGGGGGGGTGACAAGTTCTAGCTGGGACACACTGTATATCATTTCGTTATCAGATGACGGTCGAAATTTGCAGCCGGCTCTTGGAGTATGATATTGTATATGTACAGTCACCTTCAGAAAACATGTCGCACATGGACGGTGATAGCATTCTTAATAACTCATGCAATAAGAGCGCTGACACCGTCCAACCGCGACATGATCTCTGAAGACGACTGTACAATATTGTTACCTGATGACTTCCGTTGGATCGAAACAAATTTTTTCCTCGTTGAAGAGTTGGGACACCCTGTATTTCGACCCTCCCCAATTCTATAGTGTAGTTGTAGGAACAAGTCGAACGAGAATTATTAGGTGCATTCTTCATTTCATTGGAATACTTAATAATTGAAAAACAGTACTCCCCATCACGTTGTATAAAAATACATATAAATGACTTTTTCAATATCCAAGAAACAAGTTGACAAAATAAATCCTCAATAGCCTTCTGAAGGGCATATTTTATGTTCATTGAAAGAACCATTATCCTTTTTTCAAGTGTTACTGATTCTAGAAATATTTTATATTGGTGCTTGGTCACCATGTTTATTTGTATCGTCCTGAAAATCTTCAAACTTCACTCTTAATACTATGTTAAATGATGGAAGTAAGATATGGTGCGCGCATTCGGCCATTATTACGTATTGAAAATTTCAGAAAAATCACTCGACCGCCTACTATGATTTCTCTACGTCACAACGAGCGAGACGTTAATTCTACATTTTCCCGCTAGATGGTGATGCTTCTATTGCTGCTGAGACGAGTGGAAATGAAATGGCAAATGGCATTTTAGGTACGCGGAACATATGTAACATGTATGTAATAGTGGGATTATTCAACTTTCAATTCGAAAAATCTGCGACAATTTCAAAACTGACAGATGTTATAATTGTGCAATGTCGCCATCTATTAGAAGATCGACGGAACCATTGCTCTCGCTGTTCTCGAGAGGTCGAGTAAAATTTCTGAAACAAAAGCGCATCAGTAATTACACCATATCTTACTTCCATCATTCTCTGTTATTTACGTCCGAATAATGGAATGTTTCATGGAAAAAGTGGTCTGTTTATCGTATTGATCGAGAAAAAAATTGTGAATCATTCGATTACAGAACACTGTTCTGAGAACAGTCGAATCTATTATCAGTATATCGTTTACTACGAAAGTGTGTGTATGGGTGGTGAAAACTGACTGTAAGATTATTTGAATTTGAATTTTTGAACATTGAAAAGTGTGCCTAAAGTGAGGAGAGGATGCCGGTGAGTTGATATCAATGCTTTTAAAATAGATCAAATTCGACACCAATTCTTATGGTTTTCATCTCGGTTTTTTATTTTATTCACTTGACAATTTTTGGTAAAACTGCATTCATCATGCGATGGTTTTTTGGTACTTACGTATTTTTGCCTGAAAAACACGATTTTGATAATGAAAATGTGAACAAACCACTATTTATCGAGATATTTCAAGAAAAAATTAGAAATGTTGCCTTCCCTTCCCCCTTATGTTGGATACATTTACAGGTACTTGCTCTTTTTATTTTGTCATTGGACACTTTATACAGGGTGATCCACGGTGGATGGCCTATTAGAAGTATCTGTAGAACGAAAAGACAGAACATTCTGAAAATTGAGATGCTTTGATATTTGAACTTTCTCTATCCCTCTAAAATATTTTCATCGATACAGTGTTGCCACTTCTGTCAGAAACAACTAGCAACTTTGTTATTTTAAATAGAACACCCTGTATTTTATTGCATTTTTAGTTTCTTCCTGAAGAACTGATTGCATCAATGCATCACACTTAGGGTCTAGCAGGAATGATTACAGAGATATAGGGTGTTCAAAATCGAGATTTTTCAATTTTAGGATATTTTTGTGTCGAAACTATTCATTATCTATCAGAACGGCTCACATGTCCCTATCTCAACTTTCGATTCACTATCTACTGGAATTTAATTGGAACAGTAACAGGGTGTTCAGAAATCTGAATCTTGAAGCACCCTGTATTTTTTCCTATTAAATTCGAGTAGATAGTAAATCAAAAGTTAAGATAGGGACATGTAAGCCGTTTTGATCGATAATGAATAATTTCATCACAAAAAAATCCTAAAATTGAAAACACTAGATTTTGAACACCCTATATCTCTGTAATCATTCCTGCTAGACCCCAAGTGTGATGGATTGATGAAATCAGCTCTTCAGGAAGAATCTGAAAATGCAATAAAATACAGGGTATTCCATTTGAAATAACAAAGTTGCTAGTTGTTTCTGATAGAAGTGGCAACACTGCATCAATGAAAATATTTCAGAGGGATAGAGAATGTTCAATTATCGAAGCATCTCGATTTTCAGAATGTTCTGTCTTTTCGTTCTCCCGATACTTCTAATAGGCCATCCACCGTGGATCACCCTGTATACTCATGATGTACTTCAATGACACATTTTTAAATAGAAAATTCAACAGGAAATATGATTTTTATGGAGAGTTTTTCATATTTAGTGAACAAGCATTAAGGTTTGTTAATCTGTGACCAGATGACGGCCATTTAATCAATAGTCAATCCAAATACGACATGTCAAATGTCAACAGATTGCTTTTGAATGACATTACACACGCCAATGATGGAATGGTGTAATCACTGATGCGCTTTTGTTTCGGGAATTTTACTCGACCTCTCGAGAACAGCGAGAGCAATGGTTCCGTCGATCTTCTAATAGATGGCGACATTGCACAATCATGACATCTGTCAGTTTTGAAATTGTCGCAGATTTTTCGAATTCAGAGTTGAATAATCCCACTGTTACATATGTTCCGCGGTGTTTATATTGAGTTCATTGGTTCCGCGTACATAAAATGCCATTTGCCATTTTATTTCCACTCGGCACAGCAGCAATAGCAGCATTACCATCTAGCGGGAAAATGTAGAATCAACGTCTCGCTCGTTGTGACGTAGAGAAATCATAGTAGGCGGTCGAGTGATTTTTCAGAAATTTTCAATACGTAATAATGGCCGAATACGCGCACCATATCTCACTTCCATCATTCACACGCAATTATTTTGAATCATATTCTTCCTTTTTTTCACTAAACAATAAACATGGATAAATCACAAGAAAATCATATTTCTAGTTGACTCATATAATAAAAAAAAATGTGTCCTATATTGTGATATATATAAATTGTCCAATGATGGAAAAAGAAGGGCACATTGTTCTAAATGCGATCCAGAAGACAGGTGGAAAAGAAGGTGAAATTTGTAACTTTAAATAATGGTTTGTTCACATTTTCATTATCAAATTCGTGTTTTTCAGACCAAAAAACGTAAGTACAAAAAAAATTCGAAAAAAAAATAGTAGATTGTTTTATTAGGATCAAAAGAGTCACTTTGTTTGACAAGCGAATTTTGCATTTGCGAGGCGGAGCGTTTAGCGAAGCCGAGCGAAAGCAAAATTTGCGAGTCGAACAAAGTCACTTTTGATCCGAATGAAACATGCTATTTTTTCTGCAACCGAAACAATTAACTCAAATAAACATGTGAAGTAACCACCAATGCCGTGCCATATGTATGCAATGCAACAAATATTGACAAATAATCCATGTGGTGAGAATATTCTACCTGCATTAACAGCAGGTTAGGTTTTCTAGGATGTTCGAATTATAGTTTCAATATAAATACAACCACAGAGTGACATATTTGTGTATGGACCAGGTGCTCTAATGGCAAATACCGCGCCAGTGCCAGGTATAGGAACAAGACGAGGAAAATGTTAGGTTAGTGAGCATATCAACAATGATAATAGTGATTATTTATTCCTCTCCATACTGGCATACTACACTGTGTTTGACTTGATAATCAAATGAAGCTAAACAATATCGTTGTTTGAGACAAAAAAACTATTGCTTGCCGTGATTATTCAAAAACAAGTTATCCATCCCGAGAATAACGAATGAAATACAGATCAAGCAAGTATTTGAATCTTGAAGGCTTTCCTGATCAAAACAAAAATACTTAACTGAGATTTTTATAATTCCAATACTAAACTATAATAAGGTGTATTTATATCTCCAGCATGAGTATGAAATGCCAAATCTGCTGAAATCGGAAACAAATCAGGTATGCGTCTCAACCCAAATAACCAACCGTCACAATGTTGTTTATTCTTGAAGACGTCCAGTAGATCCTTTTTAGTTCCTAGGAGCTCAAGTTCAACTTTAGCTCCTAGGAACTAGAATTCAACTTTAGCTCCTTGGAACTAAATATGTTGCCTAGCAACATACCAATTTTTATGTTAGTAATAGAAACGTCAATTTAAGAACTAATTTTGGTATCAAAATGGACGACTTTTGTGTCGGTTGCAGAAAAACAGGTTTAGGTATGTGAATACTGAATACCTAGTGTTAGAAACACTCCAGAGATACCCACCAAATTACATTAATCACTAGTAATAATATTATCATTATTATTATATTATGTTGTGTGATTCAGTACCATAACCCCGTATTATGTTTAGAATATCGACGGGTGCTGGTTTTATGACTAAGAGATATTGAATGCATGATTAAGGAGTTACATAAGCTAGATAAGAGAGGGTGACAGGGAATAGTTAGGATGACTAGTAGAGTTGAAACTAGAGAGCTGTAAAGGTGTTATTGTCCTAGAATACAAACTTGATATTTGAAGACGTGGATATAATTCAAGCAGCTTCTCAGTTGTCCTCCCTTATCACTAGTCATTATTTTCATAATGCTCCTTTTTTATTGTGATCTTTTTTTGTTGTTGTAACTACCTACCTACCTTTTCTTGAATTTGATCACCCCCCCCCCCCAAAGTAGGTGGCCAGATACGCCACTGGTCAAGATTACATTATTACAGCATTGGAGAACATTTTGCACACACTTGTTTACATATTTATTCATTTTGGTCTAGTTTAGTGAAGTTTAAGGAGGGTTTTCAACTTTTTCTTGAATATCATTATTGGAGAACATTTTATATGGGACGGGAGCTCATTATACAGAGTGATACCCTTGACAAATATTGAGTGTTGACCAGAGGTTGTAGAGAACCTCATTAATTGATTCCAAATCATTGTTATGTCTTGAAAGCGAGCTTGAAAGTCTCAGAAAGGCAGTGTTTTTTTCTTATTCTGTCTCTAATGGGTGCTTTTTGAATTACTCAAGACACTGAAAGGTAACTTGACATGTTCAAGTTGATATATGAGATACCTACCCAGATCATTTTCTTTATTATGATGTATTATGAATTATTATACACTGTGTCCATAAAGTCACCCCCCCCCTGGTTAACTTTTGAACGGCTGAGATTTTTTTCTTCATTGTTTTTGCTTCAATGGTGGTTCAAGTTTTACATTTTGGTTTTAAAAAAATATGTATGGCGTCCAGGCGCCATTTTGGAGGATTTTTTTAAATGGAGTGGGGGTCGAAAGATACCTCATTTGAAAGGTGTTTTGATTCTATATACAACCTCAAAATTTGAGACAAAAATATTCATTCAAAACAAAATGGCGGATGATTATGTTTGAAATCTCACACCAGGATCCTTTCTACTAGATGGCTATTAAAGTGCTCTCATGTGATCTCCAACTCTCTATTGGTGTCTAGAAAAATTCTCTATTCATGAAAATATAAAAAGGTAGCCATTTTGAAGAAATCTCTATTGTCTTTCCAAAGTCAGCAAAATTATGAAAATATTCATTCTAAATGGCTTCCTTTTGATATCTTTATGGATAGAGACCTTTTCCAGACACCAATTGAGAGTTGAAGATCACATGAGAGCACTTCAATAGCCATCTAGTCGTGTGAGATTTCAAACATAATCATCCGCCATTTTGCTTTGGATGATTATATTTGTCTGAAACTCTGAGGTTGTATAGAGAATCAAAATATCTTCCAAATGAGGTATCTTTCGACCCCCCACTCCATTTATCAAAATCTTTCAAAATGGCGTCCAGGCGCCATTTTGAAAAATACATATTTTTTTGTTCAATCAAAATGTAGTATTTGAACCATCATTGAAGCAAAAAAAACATTAAAAATGATTCCCAGCCGTTCAAAAGTTAACCAGAGTGGGGTGACTTTATGGACACAGTGTATACATGTACATTGTAAGAAACAGTATCTGCAAAAAAATTTATCAGTATTTTGACTTGTCATTTGTAACACAGATATTTCCAAAACCAACAAATTAATGTGCATTTCATCTCTTGGAGTGCACCAAATGAAATTCCTATAATATTCTAATGTTCACTGGATATATCAGTTTATGTGTGAATAGATGATTTATACTGGGTGACCGGGTATCAGGCCACCCCTGTAACATCTGCATTCATGAAGGGATTTTTCTGAAATTTCGAACAGTTATATAAGCAACAATTTTGGATTTGATCACATTACAATCCAATATGGTGGACTTCTGGTTTTTCTGGAAATGCTAGCAAATTTGTTTGTTCTTAATAGAACACCCTGTATTATTTTACTCATTGAAGTTTAACAGGTAAAAACAAGTACAATCTTCATGTCAAATGTAAGTTTTCCAAAAATGTTGAAATTAAAATGATTGTGGTTTCATTTTACCTCAAAAATATTCACAATTGAGTGGCACATAACTGAGAAACATATTTTTCCTGAAAAATTATTTTTTGTGTCATTTATGCATGAATCAATTCAGTCACTTCACATTTTGATCAGAAATTAATTTTGTTTTTTCAAATGGACCACCCACATCTTTCTCTAGGACAGTCTAGGACATACATTAAGGACAAAATTGAAATATAATTTGTGTATTTCAATGCAATAACATTGCATACATTCAAAAATCAACAACTGAGTTTGTGAATTTCCTTTTAGTTCAAATAATTTAAATTTTTTTGAAAAAATTACATTTGACCTAAAGATTGAATTTTCTTGACCTGTCTTACTGGAATATGTAAAAATATACAGGGTGTTCCATTTGAAAAAACAGTTGCTGGCATTTCTACAAAAACTATATAACTTTTCCAAATTTCAGACAAATTTGTTGATGAATAAAGAAGTTACAGTGGTGCCTGATACCCTATGTTACCCAGTAAGTATATAACAATTACTATAATTGCTTCTGTGAATCTTCTCCTTATAAAAATACCTACATCTGACGTCAACAGCCAAGCTGCAGTATTTATCAATATAGAAACTTACCTTTTAGGGTCATAGTAAAATGCATAGTAATTTGGATCCACAGACACTGGGGAATTCTGAATAGGAAGAGAAGGAGACTTCTGAACCACCTGTACATTGCTCATTGGAGTCATCATAAATGATTGTGTGGCTGTCAGTACATACTGAGGTGTGGTCTGAGACAACCTTGCTGATGGATCATTTCTATAATTCTGCTGAATACTGGAAAGACCATTCTCTATCAGACTTTTAGAAGGTGAATATTGCTTCTCAGGAATAGAAGGTTCTTCCCTCTTGAATCTTTTAGATGAACTAGGAGAAATGGTGGGCTAGAAAACAGGACAAAATATATATGAAAAATAACATACCATCATTGGAATGCAGTCAGAGCTTTCAGAGGTCTGCTATGGATGTGACTATGCATCATTTTCAATGCATTGTAGTTAGAAATGACAGTTACAATGGATAGCAAATTCCTTCATTAATTTTATTGCTATATGAAACTGATACTGACTAGATAATGAAACATCAAAACAAATCTATGTGCCAGTTGATATTTTTCTATGTCCATATAATCATTTATTATATTATTAGTAAATACATATCACAGGGTAGTTGAACTGAAAAACCTATATTATAATATAGAATGATTCTTTGATGTAATGATAAATATTGATCTGATTTTTTCACATTTCATCATTACTTACCAGTTTGAAATTTGGAGGTGGTTTGCTGAATAAAGATGAATCAATACGAACCCCACGATCACCACTCATTTTCACAACTTGTCTATATCAGACTATCGGATTATGGATACTAATAAAACTCTATTACAGCACAGCCTTCATTGAGGAGTTCATTGTGCTGTCTGTGCACATTGGATTGAAAAATCTTAAACATACCAGTACCAACAGTACCATTGAAATAATTCATGGAGAACGTCCTCTATTTTTAGTATTTTTCCTTCTCCATCATCATTATTTATTCTATTTATTTACCAATCCATCCATAATAATTCCATATCAACAAATAATGTAATTAATTAAATTAATGCAAATGAATTGACATGACATTCATGACAATCGACGAATCGACACTGACCTGACACTCCTGACAGTAGTGACAGTTCTGACATCCTTGTCCTGACAGAGTGACCGAGTGACAGTGACAGACAGTTTTTAAAAAATAGCCTTGAAGACCTTTCCTTGAAGTTTCGAGTTCCGAACTACTCGAAACAGGACTGTATGATTTTGTTGGCTTCATTCTCCTGACAGTATTTATAGTCATGGCAGCAAATTCGAATATTTTGAATATTCAATTCGAAAGAGTCTTTTCAGATTTCAGATAGAATAGAACGCCCCAATATTTTGGAGCAATGGGTGAAGCTATTTGCTAACTTCAAATAGTGGGGCTAATTCTAGGGTCGTCCGCAGGGCAAGTCACAATAATAATGTACAGTATTTACTTATAATTTCTACCCAGTAAACACAACACGTTTCAAAAACATTTAAAAAATTCCCTAATACGACGTGTCATCTGAAACATTCCAATGTTAACATAAAGGAAACATTTCTGAAGCTCTACATATGCTATGTGAAATATTTCAGTAATATGTCAATACATACGTTTCATATTCGTTACAAAATGCTCTGCTTGAAATGTCTCACGTGATTCTCTAGACGTGTCATCTGAAACATTCCGATGTTAACATAAAGGAAACAATTCTGAAGTTCTCGATGTTATGTGAAATATTTCAGAAATATGGCAATACATACGTTTCATATTCATAAAAAAAGTCTCTGCTTGAAATGTCTCACGTGTATCTCTAGACGTGTCATCTGAAACATCGCTATGTTTACGTAGGTATTTGAAATATTTCTCTGTTGTTATGCGTAATGTGAAACATCTTTGAAATGTTTCAATACAGGTGTTTACTAGTTGTTCAGAATTCATCATATTCGAAACGTTTCGTAAAAAGCGAAAAAGCGGCGTTCACAACCAAACTTTTTACGTTTCGTATTCTGATTCGTGAAGCAAAATCTGTAATTGAAATGACGCAAAAAGCTTTTTGCGTTGCAAAAAGCCATGTCTGTGAAAATATATGTATATGTATAAATAGTAGAAATAGACAAATGATATTGTTATAAAAATGAAAAATACTAAAATATTAGTTCTAATAGAACAATACATGTATGGAACATTCTATGTATGGAAGTTGTGATAATGTTTTTGCTCATGATTTTTTCGTGAATCCACGGAATATTAGAATTCACGTCACCACCAGTTCTATGAATATTAATAATTATCTAATCAATATCATTGTTATGATTATTTCACTTCATATCAGGAAGAAACACAAATGAAAATACCAAGGGAACTGAGAAAAGCCGTAAAAAGTCACGTTGATTTTTTTTGTGAATGACATTTGCCCAAGTTTAATTCACAATTTTAGATTCTGCTTCACCAATCAGAATACGAAACGTGAAATGCAAAACCTAAAAAATTTGGTTGTGAACGCCGCCGTTTGGAAATTGGAAGTCATTCCAGTGTTTAATTCAATTCAGTGCAGGTAAGTTGTCGGTCCATAAGGTTGGCAATGGCAACACCCAAGATCAAGATCTGGCAACGCCACAGACAGATGAAGAACTGTCGCAGTCGCAGTACTATCCTAACCTTATTTTTCTCCAAATCAAAATCAAAACCTCGAAACATGTAAAAACCTGAGGTAAAAACCGATTATCTGGAAATGAACGCAAGCGCAAGCCGAACCCGAACCTCTCTCACGCTCACACAAGTTTGGGCGTACGTTTTTTTAGTGAGTAGTGGTTCGGATTGGAAGCGCGCTGCCCGGAATTTGATATCAATTATTCAGTGACCCCTACTATAAATTTCTTCGGCCGAGACCGCGCTCGTCATACCAATTCGAAAGTGTGTCGTCCGTGGAAGGCAGCGAGAGTAGCGAGACTGGTGAGTGGTGAGAGTGACCACGCGAAATGAAAGAATACACCCAAGTGACGATGCCGAACTACTCTTACGTTTTCAATTTCGAATCTGACTTCATTCATCAAAAAACCCGCACATGGATGCAAGACAACTGGACCCTCGGCTTCTATTATGTGGGCATATACATGGTGCTCATTTTCGGGGGCCAACATTTGATGCAAAACAGGCCCAAATTCGAGTTGAGAGGAGTTCTGGTGCTGTGGAGTACACTGCTGGCTACTTTCAGCATTATGGGGGCTTGCAGGACAGTCCCGGAGTTTCTTCACACACTCACACACCATGGTCTGTACCATTCAGTTTGTATTCCTTCATTCATCGAACAAGACAAAGTATCAGGATTCTGGACGTGGATGTTTGTGCTCAGCAAATTGCCTGAATTGGGTGACACAATTTTCATAGTACTCAGAAAACAGCCGCTCATCTTCCTGCACTGGTATCACCACATCACAGTGCTTTTGTATTCCTGGTTCAGCTACACAGAGTACACTGCCAGTGCCAGGTGGTTCATTGTGATGAATTACTGTGTTCATTCTGTAATGTATTCCTACTATGCTTTGAGGGCAATGAGATACAATCCCCCTAGGCAGATTGCCATGGTTATAACATCCCTTCAGTTGCTGCAAATGGTTGTGGGCTGTGCTGTGAACCTTTGGGCCAGGCAATTGCTACAGCAACAAGCAGAGTGCCATATCACCCCTTTCAACATTAAGCTGTCCATTGCTATGTACTTCAGTTATTTCGTCCTGTTTGCTAGGTTCTTTTACAAAGCATACATGAGTGGAGTCAGGAGAAGTAAGGATAGGAGTGCTCCTGTAACTGCTGAGTATCCTCTGCTGAAGTCTAAGATACAGTAAATTTTATATGCATTCAATAGGACATTATTTTTGCTGAGTTGGTGCATAGATAGGCTTCAAGCTGTGAAATTCTATTAGCAAAGAGATAATTATGGTAGGGTAGCAAATGAAATTGGATTCTTATCTGATTCTGTTGGTTCATTAAGTGCTTCCCACACATTTGGTTCAGTCATCTCTCGAGTCATCTTGAATATTAATTTTAGATTTTTGGGGACCTTCACAAATAATCTAGGAATCAAAATGAAAAATTTCAATTATGTGTTTGAACTGAGATTTCATGATTTTAAATTTACATGAAACATGAATATAATTCTCATGGATAGATGAAGATCACAGCTTTCTAGAAAAATATACATAATATTCTAATTCAAATTCAATTTGCATATTGTTATACTTATTTATTTTTCTATGCTTTATTATTATATATTCTTTGGTTCTGGCACAGTATTATGAAAGAAAGCATCATTATGTAATTTCAATCAAGTTACATAATCAAAGTCACTAGACCAACCTACTCACAAAAATTCCTTTTTAATAATTTCATAATACAGATATAGATTTGGTAATATGTTATTTCCCAGGGTATTTCCTTGAATTTCTGTAATTTCATGTGCTTGTTTGAGAATTACCTGAAGAATTAACTCACTGGAAATTGTAATTTTATCAAATTTGTATCTGGATTCTGAAGTGGACACTACTTATTTAATACTTCTTGAATTTTATTTATTTTTTATGATTAAATTTTTAGTTGTTAATGATTTTTTATGGAAACTGGATCATATTTCTTTATAAAAGTTGACAATATTCAGAGAACTTTCAATATTAATATCTGCTGCACTTCCAAACATCTTGAATGTATCATCTTCTGGTTTGTCTATCCTTTTAAAATAGTTTTTACATATACAGGGTTTTAAACTTGAGTCAGCATTATTGCTAACTGGATTTAATTGTAGAAACAAAGTCAGTTGAATGGACATACCAGTAGTATTTTTCCTGCTGATTATGATGATAAAAATAAAACAACAATTTATCATCATGTTCATTAGTTATTTCAAAAAGTTCTATATCTTTAAATGGGACACCCACTATACAATATTTATAATCAATAGGAAATTCGATTCTGTAAGTAAGTTTAATGTTTATGGAATTGATCATTAATGATCAATTTGTCTATTGATGCATGATTGTTGATTAGGCAACCAAACATACACAGCATCCATTCACTTTCTAGGCTATAATTTAGGGAATCTGCATTTAAATGGAAAATATGGATTTCATTGGAGATTTACAAAGTTACAACAAGTAATACCTTGACCATCCATGGCTAAGTCATTTTTGAATTCATGATAACAGATCATGGTATAGTTTTTGTCTTGGTTTTTGTTCAGAATCAAATTTCCTATGGAATAAGAATATCATGTCCCATTATAATAAATGTAATCTTTTGACATAATTCACCATAGTAATCAGGTGAAAAAATACTGCTGTTCGCCCATAACAAATTCAGCTATAGTGCCGACTTGAGTTTGAAAACCCTGTATAAAAACATTACATGAGTACTAGCATTATGAACTGTAAGATATTCATCTACCAATCCCAGGATGTTTTTGCTGAAAAACTTTTCTGACTCAGCTTCTTACTTTCAGGTTTTCAGGGGTAGCAAAGTGGTTGAAATCGGTTGAATTTGCAAAAATTCATTAGTTTATTGGTTATAGATTATCCAACAAACAAGTATTGCATAATGGCATATATATTTATATTGCCGAGGATATTGCACATGTGGTGATAACCCCTTGCTTTGAAAAAAAATTTGGTCAGCCCATAATATAGAAGATGAGCATTGCAAAAATAATTTTATCAAAAACATTAAGATCTTGGAGGTGCAATGGTAATTTATTTATTTGATTTCTCAAGTTTTGTGGGCAGTAAGAACTGAGATTATAACAGGATAAAGTTGCTCTATTTATTAGTTAACTAATTTGGCAAAGAGAGAAAAGTGTAAAAATTTTGTATATAGATACCTATATATATTTTTGGTATATCTTTTTTATCTATTGATAAGGTAGATACATGCAACTTTACTCAATTTACTTCAGAGAAAAAAGATTTTGAAATTCTTCGCAAAATTCTCAAGTGAAAAAATGATTACATCAGATAACAGGAACATCTGTATTATTCCTGTATACCTCATCTTATCAAATTGAATTGAGCATTTTTGCATGAATCCGCCTACAGACATGAATTTTAAATTGTAAATAGTTCTTTTGTTTACAAGATATTGAAAGAAAATGTTTCTCCTGAAATTTATTTATTTATTTATACTTGATTGATTGTCATTCAGCAGCAAAAATTAAACAGATTTATTTTTTGTCAATCAATCTCATTATTTTATTTTGTAAAAATGGTACTAGCAATAACTGGCAATTGGAGATAAATGGGTGGAAATTCCATTTAATTCCTGAAAAACAAATTGTTGATCAACTTGGCTGCATAACAGTTTTCAAATATGTGATAATTTTTGTATACCATTGTTTTAATCCATACTAGGCATTATTATATGGATAAGTTCTGTAAGAGTTTCAGCGCGTGAGAAATATACATTTTGAAAATAAGGAACTTTTTTTTCAACTCATATTTACCTTCTAAGTTTCAAGTTGGAAACATTTCAAACTCCTCCTTAAATGAAAATTATTTTTTATGATATCCTGCCAAGTGGAAACGTGAGACGTCTTGAAACATAATATTTAGCTCCGATAATATCGACTACTCATGTTTGTCCTGGTAAAACAGACGAATTGTCTCGGAAACTCTGTCGATTATTGAACTTGAAATACAGGGTGTATCTAAATAACACCGAAAAAACTCAAGAGGTGATTCCTTGTGATATTTTAGTAAATAAAGTCCATATGAACATGTGTCCTAACTTGCTTCATTTTCGAGATAATATCCCATTAGCGCCGTGCGTTGCCATATGGCAACGCTATTCAGATAGAGATTCAAATAATTCCCGGACACTTGAATTTTTAGCTATTAGGGTGGAAGACAGCCCACATGATTCGCAAAAGAACAGGTTCTGCACGTGTCGAATTTGTAAACTTTTGAGTTTATTTGAACTGACGTAAAACATAGTTGCCTCGTTCATGTACGTATCCTTTTTTCACGCATTTGATTTTGCGATTTTTGTTTCCATAATTATGTTGCAGATGCTCCAAGTTATATATGTGATAAATTGAAAAAAATTGCAGGAATGTTTTTTGTGTAGAAAATTTGCATCAAATATTCGTGTTGGATATTAGACGTGGCCATGCAGAATAGCTGGATTTTGACAATTACTGTGTTCAAAATGTAATGGAGGTATTTGTGTTAATATTCCAAATCATGTGTCACAAGCGCCTAGTGTTGCCATATGGCAACAGCAGATTTTTGGAAGACCTGAATTCCATTTATGATTGTTTGAACTTTTCTCGTCTTTCGAAAGCATTTCACATTACCACATTAGTTAATGTTCATAAAATATCAGGAAAAAAAGAAAAAATAATTTCGGCGCTAATGGGTTTACTCAAGTTGTCAGCAATTCCCTGATTGTCCAGACTCTGTATTAATTCTCGTATCTCCCTTTCAGCGCCTACAAAATTCGTCCCATTATCAGTGAAAATTTCTTTCGGCTTCATCCGCAATACTTCTCGTTTGGTTGGGATCTTGGCACCAGTAGATATTTCTTCAGGGATTTTCTTCAAATTCAATGAAAATACAAAACAATCTTTCAATGGAAGCCATTATCAATATTTCCATTAAAAATCTTTTTTCTATTCATTTCTCAATTGTCGTTCGAAATAATATTTCCAGTGGCGTCACAGTGGGTAATTTTATCGATATTCATGGTGAAATGTCATTGTACACCACCGGTTTTCCTGACTTTCAAATTTTTATTAGATCAAACTATTGAAATAACAACTTTTTTATTGTCTGTGTGATTTTTGTATCTAGCTTAGTTTTTGAGGAAACAATAAAAATTCGATTAGACTCCAAATTTTAATGTAGGTGTTTTCAAGACTTCCATTGAGATTACTCAATAACCCTAATTGGAATCATTTTGAAATTTTTGGGCTTTCTCAGTCCCCATCCATACTGAATTTTGGCACCATGAAAGCTCATACAGGGGGGTTAGAAATAAAAACAATTAATACTTTCAACTTCAACATCCTGTATCTCAAAAACGGAGCAAGTTAGTACACATGTTTACATGAACTTTATTTGCTAGAATGTCACAAGGAATGAACACCCCTTGAATTTTTTCGGTGTGATTTAGATACACCCTGTGTATACAGATTGGACCTCGGATTGCACCAATAAATTTTTGATTTTTGCTGTTATTTTTTTTTTTTTTCGTTAAATAAAACGTATAAAAAAGTTATCACCAATATAACAAGACGACTCTGATGTAATCATAGGCTGACGTCAGCGAACTTTGGCTATCGACAGCTGCAAGCTAAAACCACTATAATTTTTATTGGAATTTTGATGAAATCTTCCTACTGGTGATAACATCATTCAATTAGAAATAATAACCAAATTCAACAAAAAAAAAATTCAATTCAACAACAAATAGTTATTTAGTAAACAAGGGTTTTTTTGCGGTTCTCAGAACCTAGAGCTTAAAATCTGATATTTTTCCAGGTATATTAATCACAGTATTTTTAGCTGTGACAGGAAAAAACTACGATTTATGCTATCGGTTCAAAAATAACTGATCATATCGTTGTGATACATCATTGTAATCAGAAAAAAATACTTTTCAAAAATGCGAAAATCCAATATGGTGCCCATTAGAAAAAACAAAGTTGAGTGTTGTAACTGTGGCATCAAGAACGTCATGGAAAATACGATGGCAGATTCAGATTACTTGTGAAATAGTGCCATAAGAATATCCTAGTCAGAAACTTCTAGGTCTTTTGGTTTTCGCTTGAAAAAATAAAAACGAAAACTACAATTTTTCAATTCAATTCGATTCAAAAACTGAAAATGACACACCAAATTGTGTTGCAGATAAATGTTCAGCATGAAAATGCAATTTAACCGATCTCGTATATCTCTTATACATATAATAAAATATCCCTATATGGTAGAACTCGAGAAACGGGCACCCTGTATAGTCACTGTGGAAGTTTTCAACGGTCCGATTCACTAAATTTAAATGTCTTTTTAATAACCACATTGGGACCTATCATGCGAGGATTCTCTGAGACTTCTCCATTCTATTCCTTTTGATATGGTGACTTTCTGGAATAGACTTCGTCGCGTTGTTTCTCGATGACGATCTTTTCATCAAGAAATTGAACACATTTTGTGGTAATAACATTGTGGCTATTTATTATTATCCTGAAATTATTATCACTGCATATTAG